GAGTTGGTATGTCAAGTCTGTATACCTATCTACCTGCTCTTTGTCCGTCGTCCGTTGGCGACCAGCAGACCATCTGAGATTAGCTAGGGAGCTCCATCTTGGCGAGTTTTCCATGACGGTTGGTCTTGGTGAATAGTCCATGGGCTCACACATTCCTTTTAAATGGCTCATGCTATCCAACCTGGCTGCGCTGGGCTTTGCTAGCTTGTCCAGCGTTCCGCAAGCTTTACCCTTGCAAGGACCCTTGAGAGGGTCTGAAGCCCACTGTACAACATGCGCGGAGCATACACAGCATGATGAATGGATGAGGGGTGTGATGGAGTGAGCATAGTAGATCGATGAGTGCTCGACGGATGTTTGCTTGGGACATACCCTTCAGCCTAAATATGCTGATCACTGATTGGGAAGGGAGCCGGTAAGATCCCCTACCTAGGAAGTGCTCAGATCGAGATGGCGCAGCGGAAGCGTGCGGGGCTCATAACCCCGAGGTCCCAGGATCGAAACCTGGTCTCGATATATGGGGTGCGAGAAGTGACCGATCTTAGCTCAGCTGGAAGAGCGAAGGACTGTAATTGTGCAGAGACATCCTTAGGTCGCCTGTTCGATCCAGGCAGATCGGAGATGCACTCCCCGCCTTTTTGCTGTGGCACGCACACATGATGAATGCCAATATTGGTACACGCAAGCTATCTAGGTATTAAATTCCTTCCATGCATCCATGCAATGGTGATGCTACATACCAGGTGACATCATGGATCGATGGAGCTTTTGCTTGCATGGTCAGAAACTGAAGGCTTTACTGATGCGATCGACTTCATCGGCCATTTGTATGTGGCGCTCATGGTGAGGAGTTGGCTTTGCTATAGTGGCCCCAGCAGCAGTGTGTCGATTATTTTCTGTGCTGTGTGCCCATTTCATTTCGTCACTTGGGTTTGTATTTCAGAATCGTTTGTTTGTTGCCAATCAACAGTAGCACGCATGTATCTACCATCGATCAGGCTCCTACGTACAGCTTCTCTATCTATTCAAGGCAGCCTCCTTGTGTCATCTCTTTTTCTTTCTGCTCCGAAAATGTCCCACCATTCTTTGGCCGGCATCCTGGCGCTGGGGTCCACTTCCAGCATTTGCACGCAGTCCATGAGTTGGTATGTCAAGTCTGTATACCTATCTACCTGCTCTTTGTCCGTCGTCCGTTGGCGACCAGCAGACCATCTGAGATTAGCTAGGGAGCTCCATCTTGGCGAGTTTTCCATGACGGTTGGTCTTGGTGAATAGTCCATGGGCTCACACATTCCTTTTAAATGGCTCATGCTATCCAACCTGGCTGCGCTGGGCTTTGCTAGCTTGTCCAGCGTTCCGCAAGCTTTACCCTTGCAAGGACCCTTGAGAGGGTCTGAAGCCCACTGTACAACATGCGCGGAGCATACACAGCATGATGAATGGATGAGGGGTGTGATGGAGTGAGCATAGTAGATCGATGAGTGCTCGACGGATGTTTGCTTGGGACATACCCTTCAGCCTAAATATGCTGATCACTGATTGGGAAGGGAGCCGGTAAGATCCCCTACCTAGGCAGTGCTCAGATCGAGATGGCGCAGCGGAAGCGTGCGGGGCTCATAACCCCGAGGTCCCAGGATCGAAACCTGGTCTCGATATATGGGGTGCGAGAAGTGACCGATCTTAGCTCAGCTGGAAGAGCGAAGGACTGTAATTGTGCAGAGACATCCTTAGGTCGCCTGTTCGATCCAGGCAGATCGGAGATGCACTCCCCGCCTTTTTGCTGTGGCACGCACACATGATGAATGCCAATATTGGTACACGCAAGCTATCTAGGTATTAAATTCCTTCCATGCATCCATGCAATGGTGATGCTACATACCAGGTGACATCATGGATCGATGGAGCTTTTGCTTGCATGGTCAGAAACTGAAGGCTTTACTGATGCGATCGACTTCATCGGCCATTTGTATGTGGCGCTCATGGTGAGGAGTTGGCTTTGCTATAGTGGCCCCAGCAGCAGTGTGTCGATTATTTTCTGTGCTGTGTGCCCATTTCATTTCGTCACTTGGGTTTGTATTTCAGAATCGTTTGTTTGTTGCCAATCAACAGTAGCACGCATGTATCTACCATCGATCAGGCTCCTACGTACAGCTTCTCTATCTATTCAAGGCAGCCTCCTTGTGTCATCTCTTTTTCTTTCTGCTCCGAAAATGTCCCACCATTCTTTGGCCGGCATCCTGGCGCTGGGGTCCACTTCCAGCATTTGCACGCAGTCCATGAGTTGGTATGTCAAGTCTGTATACCTATCTACCTGCTCTTTGTCCGTCGTCCGTTGGCGACCAGCAGACCATCTGAGATTAGCTAGGGAGCTCCATCTTGGCGAGTTTTCCATGACGGTTGGTCTTGGTGAATAGTCCATGGGCTCACACATTCCTTTTAAATGGCTCATGCTATCCAACCTGGCTGCGCTGGGCTTTGCTAGCTTGTCCAGCGTTCCGCAAGCTTTACCCTTGCAAGGACCCTTGAGAGGGTCTGAAGCCCACTGTACAACATGCGCGGAGCATACACAGCATGATGAATGGATGAGGGGTGTGATGGAGTGAGCATAGTAGATCGATGAGTGCTCGACGGATGTTTGCTTGGGACATACCCTTCAGCCTAAATATGCTGATCACTGATTGGGAAGGGAGCCGGTAAGATCCCCTACCTAGGCAGTGCTCAGATCGAGATGGCGCAGCGGAAGCGTGCGGGGCTCATAACCCCGAGGTCCCAGGATCGAAACCTGGTCTCGATATATGGGGTGCGAGAAGTGACCGATCTTAGCTCAGCTGGAAGAGCGAAGGACTGTAATTGTGCAGAGACATCCTTAGGTCGCCTGTTCGATCCAGGCAGATCGGAGATGCACTCCCCGCCTTTTTGCTGTGGCACGCACACATGATGAATGCCAATATTGGTACACGCAAGCTATCTAGGTATTAAATTCCTTCCATACATCCATGCAATGGTGATGCTACATACCAGGTGACATCATGGATCGATGGAGCTTTTGCTTGCATGGTCAGAAACTGAAGGCTTTACTGATGCGATCGACTTCATCGGCCATTTGTATGTGGCGCTCATGGTGAGGAGTTGGCTTTGCTATAGTGGCCCCAGCAGCAGTGTGTCGATTATTTTCTGTGCTGTGTGCCCATTTCATTTCGTCACTTGGGTTTGTATTTCAGAATCGTTTGTTTGTTGCCAATCAACAGTAGCACGCATGTATCTACCATCGATCAGGCTCCTACGTACAGCTTCTCTATCTATTCAAGGCAGCCTCCTTGTGTCATCTCTTTTTCTTTCTGCTCCGAAAATGTCCCACCATTCTTTGGCCGGCATCCTGGCGCTGGGGTCCACTTCCAGCATTTGCACGCAGTCCATGAGTTGGTATGTCAAGTCTGTATACCTATCTACCTGCTCTTTGTCAGTCGTCCGTTGGCGACCAGCAGACCATCTGAGATTAGCTAGGGAGCTCCATCTTGGCGAGTTCTCCATGACGGTTGGTCTTGGTGAATAGTCCATGGGCTCACACATTCCTTTTAAATGGCTCATGCTATCCAACCTGGCTGCGCTGGGCTTTGCTAGCTTGTCCAGCGTTCCGCAAGCTTTACCCTTGCAAGGACCCTTGAGAGGGTCTGAAGCCCACTGTACAACATGCGCGGAGCATACACAGCATGATGAATGGATGAGGGGTGTGATGGAGTGAGCATAGTAGATCGATGAGTGCTCGACGGATGTTTGCTTGGGACATACCCTTCAGCCTAAATATCCTGATCACTGATTGGGAAGGGAGCCGGTAAGATCCCCTACCTAGGCAGTGCTCAGATCGAGATGGCGCAGCGGAAGCGTGCGGGGCTCATAACCCCGAGGTCCCAGGATCGAAACCTGGTCTCGATATATGGGGTGCGAGATGTGACCGATCTTAGCTCAGCTGGAAGAGCGAAGGACTGTAATTGTGCAGAGACATCCATAGGTCGCCTGTTCGATCCAGGTAGATCGGAGATGCACTCCCCGCAATTTTGCTGTGGCACGCACACATGATGAATGCCAATATTGGTACACGCAAGCTATCTAGGTATATAATTCCTTCCATGCATCCATGCAATGGTGATGCTACATACCAGGTGACATCATGGATCGATGGAGCTTTTGCTTGCATGGTCAGAAACTGAAGGCTTTACTGATGCGATCGACTTCATCGGCCATTTGTATGTGGCGCTCATGGTGAGGAGTTGGCTTTGCTATAGTGGCCCCAGCAGCAGTGTGTCGATTATTTTCTGTGCTGTGTGCCCATTTCATTTCGTCACTTGGGTTTGTATTTCAGAATCGTTTGTTTGTTGCCAATCAACAGTAGCACGCATGTATCTACCATCGATCAGGCTCCTACGTACAGCTTCTCTATCTATTCAAGGCAGCCTCCTTGTGTCATCTCTCTTTCTTTCTGCTCCGAAAATGTCCCACCATTCTTTGGCAGGCATCCTGGCGCTGGGGTCCACTTCCAGCATTTGCACGCAGTCCATGAGTTGGTATGTCAAGTCTGTATACCTATCTACCTGCTCTTTGTCCGTCGTCCGTTGGCGACCAGCAGACCATCTGAGATTAGCTAGGGAGCTCCATCTTGGCGAGTTTTCCATGACGGTTGGTCTTGGTGAATAGTCCATGGGCTCACACATTCCTTTTAAATGGCTCATGCTATCCAACCTGGCTGCGCTGGGCTTTGCTAGCTTGTCCAGCGTTCCGCAAGCTTTACCCTTACAAGGACCCTTGAGAGGGTCTGAAGCCCACTGTACAACATGCGCGGAGCATACACAGCATGATGAATGGATGAGGGGTGTGATGGAGTGAGCATAGTAGATCGATGAGTGCTCGACGGATGTTTGCTTGGGACATACCCTTCAGCCTAAATATGCTGATCACTGATTGGGAAGGGAGCCGGTAAGATCCCCTACCTAGGCAGTGCTCAGATCGAGATGGCGCAGCGGACGCGTGCGGGGCTCATAACCCCGAGGTCCCAGGACCTCGGGATCGAAACCTGGTCTCGATATATGGGGTGCGAGAAGTGACCGATCTTAGCTCAGCTGGAAGAGCGAAGGACTGTAATTGTGCAGAGACATCTTTAGGTCGCCTGATCGATCCAGGCAGATCGGAGATGCACTCCCCACCTTTTTGCTGTGGCACGCACACATGATGAATGCCAATATTGGTACACGCAAGCTATCTAGGTATTAAATTCCTTCCATACATCCATGCAATGGTGATGCTACATACCAGGTGACATCATGGATCGATGGAGCTTTTGCTTGCATGGTCAGAAACTGAAGGCTTTACTGATGCGATCGACTTCATCGGCCATTTGTATGTGGCGCTCATGGTGAGGAGTTGGCTTTGCTATAGTGGCCCCAGCAGCAGTGTGTCGATTATTTTCTGTGCTGTGTGCCCATTTCATTTCGTCACTTGGGTTTGTATTTCAGAATCGTTTGTTTGTTGCCAATCAACAGTAGCACGCATGTATCTACCATCGATCAGGCTCCTACGTACAGCTTCTCTATCTATTCAAGGCAGCCTCCTTGTGTCATCTCTTTTTCTTTCTGCTCCGAAAATGTCCCACCATTCTTTGGCCGGCATCCTGGCGCTGGGGTCCACTTCCAGCATTTGCACGCAGTCCATGAGTTGGTATGTCAAGTCTGTATACCTACCTACTGTTTGTCAGTCGTCCGTTGGCGACCAGCAGACCATCTGAGATTAGCTAGGGAGCTCCATCTTGGCGAGTTCTCCATGACGGTTGGTCTTGGTGAATAGTCCATGGGCTCACACATTCCTTTTAAATGGCTCATGCTTTCCAACCTGGCTGCGCTGGGCTTTGCTAGCTTGTCCAGCGTTCCGCAAGCTTTACCCTTACAAGGACCCTTGAGAGGGTCTGAAGCCCACTGTACAACATGCGCGGAGCATACACAGCATGATGAATGGATGAGGGGTGTGATGGAGTGAGCATAGTAGATCGATGAGTGCTCGACGGATGTTTGCTTGGGACATACCCTTCAGCCTAAATATGCTGATCACTGATTGGGAAGGGAGCTGGTAAGATCCCCTACCTAGGCAGTGCTCAGATCGAGATGGCGCAGCGGAAGCGTGCGGGGCTCATAACCCCGAGGTCCCAGGATCGAAACCTGGTCTCGATATATGGGGTGCGAGAAGTGACCGATCTTACCTCAGCTGGAAGAGCGAAGGACTGTAATTGTGCAGAGACATCCTTAGGTCGCCTGTTCGACCCAGGCAGATCGGAGATGCACTCCCCGCCTTTTTGCTGTGGCACGCACACATGATGAATGCCAATATTGGTACACGCAAGCTATCTAGGTATTAAATTCCTTCCATACATCCATGCAATGGTGATGCTACATACCAGGTGACATCATGGATCGATGGAGCTTTTGCTTGCATGGTCAGAAACTGAAGGCTTTACTGATGCGATCGACTTCATCGGCCATTTGTATGTGGCGCTCATGGTGAGGAGTTGGCTTTGCTATAGTGGCCCCAGCAGCAGTGTGTCGATTATTTTCTGTGCTGTGTGCCCATTTCATTTCGTCACTTGGGTTTGTATTTCAGAATCGTTTGTTTGTTGCCAATCAACAGTAGCACGCATGTATCTACCATCGATCAGGCTCCTACGTACAGCTTCTCTATCTATTCAAGGCAGCCTCCTTGTGTCATCTCTTTTTCTTTCTGCTCCGAAAATGTCCCACCATTCTTTGGCCGGCATCCTGGCGCTGGGGTCCACTTCCAGCATTTGCACGCAGTCCATGAGTTGGTATCAAGTCTGTATACCTATCTACCTGCTCTTTGTCCGTCGTCCGTTGGCGACCAGCAGACCATCTGAGATTAGCTAGGGAGCTCCATCTTGGCGAGTTCTCCATGACGGTTGGTCTTGGTGAATAGTCCATGGGCTCACACATTCCTTTTAAATGGCTCATGCTATCCAACCTGGCTGCGCTGGGCTTTGCTAGCTTGTCCAGCGTTCCGCAAGCTTTACCCTTGCAAGGACCCTTGAGAGGGTCTGAAGCCCACTGTACAACATGCGCGGAGCATACACAGCATGATGAATGGATGAGGGGTGTGATGGAGTGAGCATAGTAGATCGATGAGTGCTCGACGGATGTTTGCTTGGGACATACCCTTCAGCCTAAATATGCTGATCACTGATTGGGAAGGGAGCCGGTAAGATCCCCTACCTAGGCAATGCTCAGATCGAGATGGCGCAGCGGAAGCGTGCGGGGCTCATAACCCCGAGGTCCCAGGATCGAAACCTGGTCTCGATATATGGGGTGCGAGAAGTGACCGATCTTAGCTCAGCTGGAAGAGCGAAGGACTGTAATTGTGCAGAGACATCCTTAGGTCGCCTGTTCGATCCAGGCAGATCGGAGATGCACTCCCGGCCTTTTTGCTGTGGCACGCACACATGATGAATGCCAATATTGGTACACGCAAGCTATCTAGGTATTAAATTCCTTCCATACATCCATGCAATGGTGATGCTACATACCAGGTGACATCATGGATCGATGGAGCTTTTGCTTGCATGGTCAGAAACTGAAGGCTTTACTGATGCGATCGACTTCATCGGCCATTTGTATGTGGCGCTCATGGTGAGGAGTTGGCTTTGCTATAGTGGCCCCAGCAGCAGTGTGTCGATTATTTTCTGTGCTGTGTGCCCATTTCATTTCGTCACTTGGGTTTGTATTTCAGAATCGTTTGTTTGTTGCCAATCAACAGTAGCACGCATGTATCTACCATCGATCAGGCTCCTACGTACAGCTTCTCTATCTATTCAAGGCAGCCTCCTTGTGTCATCTCTTTTTCTTTCTGCTCCGAAAATGTCCCACCATTCTTTGGCCGGCATCCTGGCGCTGGGGTCCACTTCCAGCATTTGCACGCAGTCCATGAGTTCTTGAGTTGGTATCAAGTCTGTATACCTATCTACCTGCTCTTTGTCCGTCGTCCGTTGGCGACCAGCAGACCATCTGAGATTAGCTAGGGAGCTCCATCTTGGCGAGTTCTCCATGACGGTTGGTCTTGGTGAATAGTCCATGGGCTCACACATTCCTTTTAAATGGCTCATGCTATCCAACCTGGCTGCGCTGGGCTTTGCTAGCTTGTCCAGCGTTCCGCAAGCTTTACCCTTGCAAGGACCCTTGAGAGGGTCTGAAGCCCACTGTACAACATGCGCGGAGCATACACAGCATGATGAATGGATGAGGGGTGTGATGGAGTGAGCATAGTAGATCGATGAGTGCTCGACGGATGTTTGCTTGGGACATACCCTTCAGCCTAAATATGCTGATCACTGATTGGGAAGGGAGCCGGTAAGATCCCCTACCTAGGCAGTGCTCAGATCGAGATGGCGCAGCGGAAGCGTGCGGGGCTCATAACCTCGAGGTCCCAGGATCGAAACCTGGTCTCGATATATGGGGTGCGAGTAGTGACCGATCTTACCTCAGCTGGAAGAGCGAAGGACTGTAATTGTGCAGAGACATCCTTAGGTCGCCTGTTCGATCCAGGCAGATCGGAGATGCACTCCCCGCCTTTTTGCTGTGGCACGCACACATGATGAATGCCAATATTGGTACACGCAAGCTATCTAGGTATATAATTCCTTCCATGCATCCATGCAATGGTAATGCTACATACCAGGTGACATCATGGATCGATGGAGCTTTTGCTTGCATGGTCAGAAACTGAAGGCTTTACTGATGCGATCGACTTCATCGGCCATTTGTATGTGGCGCTCATGGTGAGGAGTTGGCTTTGCTATAGTGGCCCCAGCAGCAGTGTGTCGATTATTTTCTGTGCTGTGTGCCCATTTCATTTCGTCACTTGGGTTTGTATTTCAGAATCGTTTGTTTGTTGCCAATCAACAGTAGCACGCATGTATCTACCATCGATCAGGCTCCTACGTACAGCTTCTCTATCTATTCAAGGCAGCCTCCTTGTGTCATCTCTCTTTCTTTCTGCTCCGAAAATGTCCCACCATTCTTTGGCCGGCATCCTGGCGCTGGGGTCCACTTCCAGCATTTGCACGCAGTCCATGAGTTCTTGAGTTGGTATCAAGTCTGTGTACCTATCTACCTGCTCTTTGTCCGTCGTCCGTTGGCGACCAGCAGACCATCTGAGATTAGCTAGGGAGCTCCATCTTGGCGAGTTCTCCATGACGGTTGGTCTTGGTGAATAGTCCATGGGCTCACACATTCCTTTTAAATGGCTCATGCTATCCAACCTGGCTGCGCTGGGCTTTGCTAGCTTGTCCAGCGTTCCGCAAGCTTTACCCTTGCAAGGACCCTTGAGAGGGTCTGAAGCCCACTGTACAACATGCGCGGAGCATACACAGCATGATGAATGGATGAGGGGTGTGATGGAGTGAGCATAGTAGATCGATGAGTGCTCGACGGATGTTTGCTTGGGACATACCCTTCAGCCTAAATATCCTGATCACTGATTGGGAAGGGAGCCGGTAAGATCCCCTACCTAGGCAGTGCTCAGATCGAGATGGCGCAGCGGAAGCGTGCGGGGCTCATAACCCCGAGGTCCCAGGATCGAAACCTGGTCTCGATATATGGGGTGAGAGATGTGACCGATCTTAGCTCAGCTGGAAGAGCGAAGGACTGTAATTGTGCAGAGACATCCTTAGGTCGCCTGTTCGATCCAGGTAGATCGGAGATGCACTCCCCGCAATTTTGCTGTGGCACGCACACATGATGAATGCCAATATTGGTACACGCAAGCTATCTAGGTATATAATTCCTTCCATGCATCCATGCAATGGTGATGCTACATACCAGGTGACATCATGGATCGATGGAGCTTTTGCTTGCATGGTCAGAAACTGAAGGCTTTACTGATGCGATCGACTTCATCGGCCATTTGTATGTGGCGCTCATGGTGAGGAGTTGGCTTTGCTATAGTGGCCCCAGCAGCAGTGTGTCGATTATTTTCTGTGCTGTGTGCCCATTTCATTTCGTCACTTGGGTTTGTATTTCAGAATCGTTTGTT